TGGTTCAAATATAAAAAATATTGATTTGTGATAATTTGCTTTTAGAAAATACTCCTAGTTAACGTGTTCGTTCGTTTTCAATTATGTGTAATAAATCCATTCGGAATACTTTTAATCACTCATAAATTATTTTTATTTTTTATTGTTTAAGTCGATTATTCACACATATCGGGAAGTTCATGTAACTTGCCTCAAGGCAAAATACCAATACCAACTAGTTCTTCCATATAATTCTGTCAAAAATGTATGAAGTTATTTAAGCATACCAGAATGTTGGTTTGGCGTTTAGTCAAGAATTTTGTAAATATATATATATATATATATATATATATATATACAATAAATAAATTCGTTAACGAGTGTTTCCATTATAAAACCCAATTAAATTACACAGTTCTAGTTACATAACAATTACTTATTGCAAACGTCGAAGAAACTATAAAAAGCGTTCTCCATGCGAATTATATGAATGAATGAGTAACAAGAGTATGATTCACAGCAAATAAAAATGTTATTCACAAACTGAGAAAATTTTCTTAGAATTTGGAAAATATTAAACCGGAAATCATCGATTTATTAGTTGATTTGCAAATTTATTAGCATGGGTTGCAAACATTTCAGAACACCCACACAAATAATAAATCAGACTAGTTGGAAGATTATTAAAAAAATCGAAAATGAACATTTTTATATATCTTTACGTTTCAAAACCTTCTGAACATTTTGGCATACCTTAGAAAAAATTGATGTATGTGTGTGTGTATATGTGCGTGTGTGTATGTATGCGCGGATACAAATTTTCGTCGCCGATTTCGGGAACACGGATGAAGCGATTTGAATAATTTAAAAAACATTCGATTCGTATTGATAAGGAGACGTGCTGATTAGTTTTTGGCAAAAGCAGGTGTAGCCGTTCCAAAGATATGGGGCAAAAAGTGCCAAAAACGGTAACTCAGTTTTTAAGAAAACGGAGCGTCCGATTTGAATAATTCCCAAAACATTTTACTTGTATTAACGAGATGAAGAACTGATCAAATTTTCATGAAGGCAGGTCTAGCGGTTTCGGAGATCTAGTAAAAAAAGTAAAAAAAATGCCATTTGACGGTCAAAAATGATCATTAGACATATGCACATCAAATTATCAGATATTTTATAGAGATTTTAACAATAAGTATGAATTTTGTTTACATTCCTATGGGTTCCGTACCAATGTTTACCCGTTAGACGACGACGCGGCGCTTACGCGCTTTATATTTTGTCTCTATGCAGTTAAAGCAGTACGATTGCTTTGAAAAAACGTTCAGAATTTCCAAAATATTTCAAAATACACTTTTCTTCAAAAAGTCATTTTTTTTCAAAAAAAAAGTAAATTTTTGACAAAAATTTAGTTTCTCAAAAATATAATTTTTTCAGAGTACGGGAAGTTCCAGCAATTTGCCTTAAGGCACTATGCCATGCGCCCCACTAGTTTAACTACATTGTTATAACATTACACACATTAATTTCCAAAATTGTGTTTTTTTTTAAAAAAATAGGACAAAATGGACTTTACTCTTGTAATCTTTGTATTCAAGATTTAGTGCTTACTATCTCATAGATAATGAATTGTCAAAGATTATAAATACTTTTAATCCTCATTATATATATATATATATATATATATATATATATATAAATATATATATACATATATAATATATATATAAATTTTAAGAATGTAATACGATAATCCTTATCGTCATCTTTAAATCAAATGACGTTATTGAAATTGTGCCCACAGGATGTTTATAAATATTTAATTTGTTGATATTTATACGATTGTTCATGCCATATCTTCATTTGTTTGATATTTTACATGTATATAAAATAAATAATAAACTATTATTTAGTTAAGGCGAATTGCGTCGATCGAATTACATAAAGACGATGAAGTCATACGGGAAAAGAAATAATTAAATAAAAAAAAGAGTGCGCGTAAGGTTCACACGCGATTGAAGTAAAACTTATTTGCTACTGTACAAGATGGCATTTAATTAAAAATAAATACATCATATAAGAATTTTGAATAATGTTCATTAGTGATATGGTAACACTCGTGATGCACACATTTATTAGTGTCGACCATTATACACATTTATATAATGATAAATTATAAATTATATATTTATAATAGCATTAAAAATATGTATAATATTTACAAACAATAATGTAATCAAAGTCATACTTCAAATGTGACATGATCGGTTTGTCATTGTAATAGCATTTAAAAATGAACCTTTATTAGAGAAATGAAGTAATTGTTGATTAATAAATTCTATAATATTTGTTCACACAGTGGATTATGTTAAACAACGCTTAAACAAATATTGTTTTCGCAACTTCACTCATCATGTAATAATTGTGTTTGAAGAACTTCATGTAATTCAAATTAACATACATTCATTGACTGATGGTATTTTTTTGTGGCATAAATTTTCTCTCGCCTAATTAAGATATTATCTCAACAATGCGCGCAATTATTGCTTTTATTTACGTAATAAAACGCTAAACAAAATTATAATCAGCAAAACTATTCCGTTTTGCGGTCTTTGATATCATCATTGTGAGGATGTTATGATTTGTGATGTCATCATCAGACAGGAAAAAGACGAGATTAATAATAATAAAATAAATAAACAGCTTGGGGGACAAATAATTGATAACTAGTGGTGTATGGCATCGTGCCTTAAGGCAAATTGCTCCAAAACTTCCCGTACCGTAATGAAATATTCGAGAAATTTTAAACGTTTTCAAATATATTATTACAAATACTGTAACTTTCATTATTTTTGCTATCTTATTGTTATATCTGAGCAAATCAAATCTAAATCATAAATCAATTTATCTCGTCATTTCATTTAGAATTCAATTTCAAAAAAAAAAAATAGTTGCCTAATTTACACAAAATTGAAAAAGTGCTCCCATATAGTCACAGTCTAAGCGCATTTGCAAATAATTCTGTACGACGTTTTCACTTACACTGTGCTTAGCTTGGCGGCATTTTCACATTTTTCAATAGTTTTCACAAAATTGGAAAAGTGCTTCAGTACACAAACAGTCTAAACGTACTCGGGTGAACATTTGTACCCGAGTGGCGCTTAGACTGTGCTTAGCCTGGGTAATTTTTTGAATTTTCAATCCAAAATTACAAAAATATTTTATAGAAAAAAAAGATGTAATAATAAAACTAATAATAAAAATACATTAAAACATTTTCAGATAATTATAAATATGATTTGTTTTTTTTTTTTAAATGAGAGTTTAGTTTGGACATTAAATCAGCACTTTGTATCAAAAATTAATAGTTTTGTTTCAAAATAGTGATTAATTAAAATAAAAATAATATAAATGTTTAAAAATGATATAGTAACTGAAATAAATTTATAAAACAGCTATTAATATTTTTTAAATGCAATTTGCTATATAAGTTTACGTATGACATCATTATTATTTATTTAAAAATTTAGAATATTTGTAAATTTAATTAAAAATAAAAAGTATTAAAATTTTCCACAAGTAATAAAAAAATAAAATAAAATTTTTCATTAAACATTCTAATTCTGTTACTAATAAGTATAATTATTTAAAAATATTTAAATATTATTAAATAATATAAAGAGTGTAGTGAAAAGAGTATTATTGAATTTAAATTATTAACTTTTCTATTAAAAATAATTATAATGAAAGATTTTTTGTTTAAAATTATGTTAGTTTAAATAAGTGTTTTTTTAAAAGTGGTTTTCGAGTTTAAAATGATTTATTAACAAATATTTTGTTTTTCACAAAGTTTATTTATTATTCAAGTTAAAATTTTACGATTTTCTCATAGATATACTTATTAGCAAATATTTTGTTTAACAAAGTATGATAAATTATTTAAACAAATAAATTTAAATTTATTATAGAAGAATAATAATTTGTGGAAAATAGATTTTTTTTTAAATTTAAATGAATTATATTAGAAGTGCCAAAATAAATTTTTAATATTTAATATTTAAGTGTTCCCTAGGAAATGTTGTAAATTTGATCTAGTTTTACCCTATCTAACCGAAAGGGGATGGTTCCATATGAAATTTTTGAGTGATATTTTATATTTTAAACTAGTGGTGTATGGCATCCGTGCCGTAATGAAATATTCGAGAAATTTTAAACGTTTTCAAATATATTATTACAAATACTGTAACTTCATTATTTTTCATAATTCATAATCATGAATCAATTCAGTTCAATCTCCAGAGATTATTAACAATCGTCATTTCACTTCGAATTCAATTCAAAAAAAAATAGTTGCCTAATTTACACAAAATTGAAAAAGTGCTCCTGCATAGTCACAGTCTGAACGCATTTGCAAATAATTCTGTGCGACATTTTTAATTATACTGTGCTTAGCTTGGCGGCATTTTCACATTTTTCAATAGTTTTCACAAAATTCGAATTGGAAAAGTGCTCCAGTACATAGACAGTCTAAACGCACTTGGGTAAACATTTGTACCGGAGTGGCGCTTAGACTGTGCTCAGCCTGGGTAATTTTTTGAGCTTTTTTAATTTTTAAAGCAAAATTACAAAAATATTTTATGGAAAATAAAAAAAAATAATACAAGCAGAAAGTTTTTTAGATCATTCAAATCGGACGCTTGATTCACTCAAAAACTGCCATTTTTTGCACATTTAGCTCTGTATCTTCGAAACCGCTGGACCTGCCTTTGCCAAAAACTAATCACCTCTTCTCCCAATCATTACAAATTGAATGTTTTTTAGATCATTCAAATCCGATACTCCGTTCTCTCAAAAACTCGATTTTTCATTTTAGATTTACGGCCCATGACATAAACTTAGAGACTTTTTGTAACTGTTTACAAACGATATTTAGTTTTTTTTTGACAACGTAATATTTATCTTCTAGGTGGTGCATCAGGGGAAAATGGTTTGAAAAAAACAACTTCTACATATCATTTAGAATAGTTTAGAAAATTAAGGAAAAAATGGGAAAAACAAATATAAAAACGATAGCACTACTTCTTGGTGTTTTTTGCATTTTATCAGCAAATGGTGAACTGGAAGGACCTAATGTCTGTACACGACAAGAAACGTGAGTTAAAATTAATAATACTAATATATATATATATATATATATATATATATATATATATAATATATAGATATGAATAATATCTTTAAAATTTGTATAATTTCAGATATACAACAGATGTTCGTGTCAGTGAACAACAACCCTACCAAGTCCGAGAGACCAAATGGTGTTTGAGTTTTCCACCAAGATGTTCGAGTTACAAAATCAAATTCAGGACTGTTTTCAAGTAACCAATTTTTATCTAACTAATATATCTATCTTTTTTTACCCTATCTAACTGAAAAGGGGTGGTTCCATATGAAATTTTTGAGTTATTTGACAAAAACCAAAAAAATGTCCCAAATTTTCTATTTATTGCTTAAGAATGAAATATCGAATTCAAAGTCGTTTTATTCAAAACTTTTATATCGGGGTGTATATAACTGTTTTAATGAAAATGTTGTAAATTTTATCTAGTTTCACCCTATCTAACTGAAAAGGGGTGGTTCCATATTAGTATTATCACACAACCCTATATTTTCACCCTCCTAACACAAACCCAAATTTTGTAAGAGCAATTTTAGTAATCATGATTCATACTACTTGATACCTGGATAATTATAATATCTTCTCATCTTGTTGCCCTTAAATTTATTTTGAGCTTATGCATAAATTTAAATGAAAATGTATAACAATTAAATAAGAATCAAGTTCTAAAATAATTATCTAGTCCTATAGGATATATATATATATATATATATATATATATATATATAAATATATATATAAATAATATATATATATATATATATTATATATATATATATATATAAATATATTTTAAAGGTCACTAAAATAAGACGACTTTCAGCAAAAAAGTATCTTAAAAGAGCTTTTATCTCAATTAAAAATATTAGGGTAGAAATTAAAAAAAAATTAAGCAGTTATATAATGAATACTTTCTCAATTCTTCTTGCAAAAGCATAATAAAAATTTAATAGAAATCTTATAAAAATATATCAAGAACTTCAAAAGAATCTTATAAGAATTTAGCTCACACTAAATAAGAATCTAGTCAAAAAATAATTTTTTTTGTAAATATGTTACAAATATAATAGTATCAATTCATAACTAAGTTAATAAAACTAATAAAAATTTAATAGAAATCTTATAAAAATCTATTAAGAACTGCAAAAGAATCTTATAAGAATGTAGTTCAAATTAAATAAGAATCTAGTCAAAAAATAATATTTTTTGTAAATATATTACAAATATAATAATTTTTCTATTAAATTTATATTTCAATGAACCATTATTTCTATTAAATTTGTATTAGGCTTTTGCAAGACTCATTTATATTTAAAAAGTTTAAGTTTTGAATTGAAACTGTTATATTTGTAATATATTTACTAAAAATATTATTTTTTGACTAGATTCTTATTTAATTTGAGCTAAATTCTTATAAGATTTTTTTGAAGTTCTTGATAGATTTTTATAAGATTTCTATTAAATTTTTATTAGTTTTAATTCAAAACTAAGTTTAAAAAAAAAACTTAAATAAACTTTTTAAATGTAATTGAGTCTAGCAAGAACCTAATAAAATTTAATAGGAATCTTTTAGTTTTTATAAAAGCAAACGCACAAAAATACAACAAGAATAAAGAGTAATGTTGCAATATTTTTTTTAACATTCTTTCAATATTTTTTTGTACTAGAATTTTGAAATAAAAATAAAATAAAATGCAGTGCGTTTTAGTGTGTCCAAACAATTGGTATCTAGTGCATTGTAAAATTTATAATATTATTAATGAAGTTGTTTTCTTTGTATAAGAATAAGAAATTTGTTATGTCTATTTTAATGATTTTTTATTTGAAGCTGATAAAATTATCTGTAAACTATGTAATAAAAAAAATATTAAAAATGTATGAAATTTAAAATTTGTTGCCCCGGGTGGATTTTATCGGTTACATTTTTCATATTTGGTATAATTAAGCTCCGATTTATATACGATCTTATACATTGCAATATATCGTTGAAAAGTCTATAAAATTATCTACAAATCTGTATCTAACAACATATAACTGTTAGAACAAAATTATGTAAAAATAAATTGTTATACTTTAAAATCGAAATCTGTAGCGTTCACATTATTTTAACTTTAATGCTTTGGTTTGAAATTATATTCATTTTAGTATTATATATCTTTAGAAAGTTGATCAAATTATCTATAATACAGTGTATGAAATTTTAAATATTTTTTTTAAATAAACTTTTTAAATATAAATGAGTCTTGCAAAAGCCTAATAAGAATTTAATAACAATCTTATAAAAATCTATTAAGAACTTCAAAAGAATCTTATAAATTAAATAAGAATCTAGTCAAAAAATATTATTTTTTGTAAATATATTACAAATATAATAGTTTAAATTCAGAACAAGTTCAAAAAAACTTAAACTTTTTAAATATAAATGAGTCTAGCAAGAACCTAACAAGAAATTAATAGGAATCTTATAAAAATCTATTAGGAACTTCAAAAGAATCTTATAAGAATTTAGCTCAAATTAAATAAGAATCTAGTCAAAAAATAATATTTTTTATAAATTAGAAATAGAAACGAAGTTTTAAAGTCAAACTTCTTCTGAATCCAGTTGACAACAGATCACTACACTTTTATTATAAATATTGCCAAAGCAAAAGTTAAACTGTTTTTTACCTTTTTAGGACTGAAAAACTGGTAAAAACTCGTCCTGTAGACGAATGTTGCGAAGGATATGCTCCTTCATCATCAGGAGAACGTTGTTTACCTGTCTGTGATCCACCTTGCGTTCACGGTTCCTGCTCCGAACCTGACAGGTGCAGGTGCGAACCAGGATACGGAGGCCCGCAGTGCGATTTAAGTAAGTAGAGAGCAAAATTTTGCCAAATGTCTGAAATTAGGGACAAAGACTTATAATTATGTCCAGAATATTTCACATGTATCTTTTCCCCCAGGGTGTCCAGAAGGTTACTACGGTTCCCAATGCGCAAACGAGTGCGACTGCGAAAACGGAGCCTCCTGCGACCCCTGGACAGGGGAATGCGCCTGCACAAGGGGCTTCAGGGGCATGAGGTGCGACCAGGAATGCCAAGAAGGCACATATGGCACAAACTGCGCCGAAACGTGCAAATGCCTAAACGGAGCAGGCTGCGATCACATCACTGGCGAATGCAAGTGCTTACCAGGATTCACAGGACCACTGTAATAATTGATCGATAGATAAAGTATAGTTTAGATCAGTGATTCCCAACCTTGTTTGGGAATTTTGGCTTCACCTTGAGGTTTATAAAAACGTTATGCACCCCCATACAATTTTTAACTTCCCGTAGGGTAAGTTATAGTAATCGTCCAAAAATCGAAATCAAAAATTTTTACATTTCTCGACGTTTTGAAGGTTTCTGAACATTTTGGCATACTTCAGAAAAAATGGATGTGTGTGTGTGTGTGTGTGTGTGTGTGTGTGTGTTTTGTATGTCCGCTTTTTTTCGTCCACGTTTTCGGGCGCACGGATCAACCGATTTGAATGGTTTAAAAAACATTCGATTCCTATTGATAGGGAGATGTGCTGATTAGTTTTTGGCAAAGGCAGGTCCAGCCGTTACGGAGATATGGAGCAAAGAGTGCAAAAAATAGAAAGCGAATTTTTGAGAGAACGGATCAACCGATTTGAATGGTTTAAAAAACACTCGATTCCTATTGATAGGGAGATGTGCTGATTAGTTTTTGGCAAAGGTAGGCCCAGAGGTTTCGGAGTTACAGAGCTAAATTTAAAAAAAATGGCTGTTTTTGAGAGAACTAAGCGTCCGATTTAAATGATTCAAAGAACTTTCTGCTTTTTCAACAAAACAATTGATTTTGGAAAAAAAAAATTTTTGTTTCTAATTTTTTTTCAAAAAAATTTTTTTGTAATTTTGGACTAAAAATTCAAAAAATCACCCAAGCTAAGCACAGTCTAAGCGCCACTCTGGTACAAATGTTTACCCAAGTGCGTTTAGACTGTTTGTGTACTGGAGCACTTTTCCAATTTTGTGAAAATTATTGAAAAATGTGAAAATGCCGCCAAGCTGAGCACAGTATAAGTGAAAATATCGCACAGAATTATTTGCAAATGCGTTTAGACTGTGACTATGCGGGAGCACTTTTTCAATTTTGTGGAAATTTGGCAACTATTTTTTTTTTTTGAAATTTGATTCGAAATGAAATGACGATTGTTAATGTTCTGGAGGTGATAAATTGATTTATTTATAATTAACTTTCCGTAGGGTAAGTTATAGTAATCGCACAAAAATCGAAAATGAAAATTTTTATATATCTTTACGTTTCAAAGGTTTCTGAATATATTGGCATACCTTAGAGAAAATTGATGTATGTGTGTGTACGGATACAAATTTTCGTCGACGATTTCGGGAATCGGGATGAAGCAATTTGAATAATTCAAAAACATTTTACTTGCATTATCAAGATGAAGATTTGATGAAATTTTTATGAAATTAGGTCTAGCGGTTTCGGAGATCTAGTAAAAAAAGTAAAAAAAAATAACATTTGGCGGTCAACAATAATCATTAGACATTAGACATATGCACATCAAATTATCAGATATTTTATAGAGATTTTAACAATGAGTATACATTTTGTTAACATTCCTATGGGTTCCGTACCAATGCTTATGCGTTAGACAGCGACGCGGCGCTTACGCGCTTCGATATTTAGTCTCTATGCATTAAAGCAGTACGATTGCTTTGAAAAAAAGTTCAAAATTTCCAAAATATTTCAAAATAAATTTTTCAACAAAAACTTTTGTCAAAAATTTATATAGTTCCTCAAAAATCTATTTTTTTAGAGTAAATTTTTTTAAAAAATGTTAATTAAAGTTAAAAAAAATTAAGTTAAAAAAAATAATTTTTGGTACGGGAAGTTCCAGCAATTTGCCTTAAGGCACGATGCCATGCGCCCCACTAGTTTTTTTTGTTCCTGAAAAAATGTGAATGATAACTTTTAAGATGAAATCGCTATTAAATTGTTATTAAACATCATAAGTAAAATTTCGGAATAAGCCAACATACGGAAATTTCAAACTAATTTTTATTGCTATTTTTTTAACTTCCCGAAGGAGAAGTTTATGTTTTCATAAAAAAATCCGACTCGCTAATTTTATGTTTTCTCGACGTTTCAAGACATTCTGAATCGAATGAGACCAACATTTGGAAAAAGTATGTGTGTGTGTGTGTGTGTGAACAGATTTTTTGCCGTAAATCGACGTTTTCTCAAATACGGCTGGATCGATTTCAAAAATTTAAAAGCCATTCGATGTATCTCGATTAGGACTAGCGTTTCTAAGTCTTGTGCGACGATCGGCCGGGCCGTTTCTTTGTAAATCGCAGAAAAGTGAAAAATTTTTCGTCCACGTTTTAGCCCGCAATTCTGAATCGATTTTGAAAATTCAAAAACCGTTCGATAAATATTGATCGGGAATCGTGCTGATTAGTTTTTGGTAAAGATCGGCCGGGCCGTTTTCTTGTAATAAAGTTTTTAAAAAAAAATCGACGATTTTTATGATTTTTTTTTGGCGGTAGATACCATAGTCTTGTAGATCATACTAAAATATTACGGCCCTACGACAAGTCGTTTAATTTTGAAAAATCGTCAAAGTTTGCAAAAATTAGTATCGGTTCTTTAACATTTGACAAGATTAAAACTTTGATCGACGTTTTCTCAAAAACGCCTGAACCGATTTCATAAATTTAAAAGCCATTTGATGTATCTCAATGAGGACTATAATTTTTCAGTTTTGTGAGACGATCTGCCTAGCCGTTCCTTTGAAATTTGGAAAAAAGTGTTAAACTTTTCGTCTACATTTAAGCTCAAACTACCGAATCGATTTTAAAAAATCAAAAACTGTCCGAAAGATGTTAGTTGGGAATGATACTGATTAGTTTAAGGTGAAAATCTACCGAGCCGTTTTCTTGTAATTAACAGTTGAAAAAAAAATTAAGCCGATTTTTACGGAACTTTTTTGGCGTTATATATCATGGTCTTATTGAACTTACTGAAATATTAATGCCTTACGATAAGTAGTTTAGTTTTAAAAATTTACCAAAGATTAAGAAAATAAGTAGTTTTTTTGACGTTTGTTAAAATTAAAATTAGACGATTTTCTTGATATAACGATAGAGTACTTGATTTTAATGAACATAGTAAACCGTTAAAGTCCTATGGAAACTGGTTCAAATATAATAATTGTTTATTTTTGAAATTTTGCTTTTATAAAATACTGCGAGTTAACGTGTTCGTTCGTTTTCAATTATGTGTAATAAATCCACCCGAAATACTTTTAATGACTCATAAATCAATTTATTTTTTATTGATTAAGTCAATTATTTACACATATCGGGAAGTTCATGTAACTTGCCTCAAGGCTAAATACCAAACCAACTAGTTTTATTACAAAATAATGAAAAAAAGTCAAGTCAACCCGGCAGAAAAAACATAACTGCGGCACTAGTAAAGCAAGGTTGAAAACTAAAACCGTAGCGGCCACCTTATTATTCTAAATCTGAGAAGCATTTTTTTTTGTTAAATGTTTCACCGATACTATACTACATTACATTAAAATCACCAAAATTTTCAAATTGCCCCCTCTGAAAGTACAAATTGCCCCACGTTGGGAACTGGTTTAGATACTCATAGGTTTTTTTTTCCAGATGTAATCTTCAATGTCCAGAAGGCACCCATGGTGACAGTTGTCGTAGCGAATGCAGGTGCCAAAACGGTGCAGGATGTGATCCTGCGACTGGTGAATGCCATTGTTTAGCTGGCTGGACTGGCAAAGTTTGTGCTAATCCTTGTGCACATGGACGACATGGTCCTGATTGTGCCTTGAAATGCGATTGTCACAATGGTGCTGGTTGTGATGCCGTTACTGGACAATGCGAGTGCTTACCCGGATTCACAGGAGACAAGGTAAAGGACTCATGGATAAAGGACATGGGTAAAAAAATAGATGTTTAATGTGAGTTTTTTTAGTGTTTGGATATCTGTCCCCATGGCACCCATGGTTTAAACTGCTCCGAGATCTGTATTTGCAAAAACGGTGCCAAATGCAACCCATCAAACGGTGAATGCAGATGTCAATCAGGTTGGGTAGGCGTGGATTGCAACGAAAGGGCTTGTCCAGATGGTTATTTTGGTGCAAATTGCACACAGATTTGTGAATGCCAGAGCAACAACACAGAGATGTAAGTAAATAGGGGGCGTCCGTTAATCAATTAACCAAAATTTTAAAAATTCTAATAATCTAAACAACATATCTCCGGCCTTGAAGCCAACAATTCATGACTCATCCTATGCAGACATTGCAAAAAACAATTACTCTGCTTCTAATCATTCACTTTCAAATCCCGAATCTGATTCTCTAGCAACATTTATTTTAGAATTTAAAAATATCTTCAATCAGCTTATGCAACAGAACACCATTATAACAAATATGTTATCCACGTTAGTCAACAACATAAGCAATGGCAAAAATAATTAAAATTGCTGAATGGAATGCCAACGGTTTATTACCTCATAAAAATGAAGTAGAATGTTTTCAATCAAGTGAGCGAGTTTTTAAGGATTTTTGGACCTCCCTTTCCCCCTTGGTGATACATGGTGATTATCAAAATTACCCCTCCCCTCCCCTTGGTGATACATGCTGATTATCAAAATTACCCCGCCCTCCCCTCCGCCTTGGTGATTTATGGTGATTATTAAAAATTACCCCCCTCCCGCTTCGTGATACATGGTGATTATCAAAATTACCCCCTTCCCCTTAGTGATTCATGGTGATTACCAAAATTACCCCTCCCCTCCCCATGGTGATAGATGGTGATTATCAAAATTACCGGATTCCCCCTTGGTGATACGTGGTGATTATCAAAATTACACCCCCTCTCCCCTTTGGTGATACGTGGTGATCATCAAAATTACCCCCGCTCTCCCTTGGTGATACAGAGTGATTATCAAAATTACCCCCCCCCCCTCTTCCATTTGATGATACGTGGTGATTATCAAAATTAACCCCGCCCCCTCCCCCTTGATGATACATGGTGATTATCAAAACTACCCCCGCTCTCCCTCCTAACATCACGTGTATTTTTAGGTACATGAAAAACCGTACAATTTTTTAATTTAATTTTAAAATGTTTGAACTTTTTTTTTAAAAATTAGTTAAGAAATAAATACGCGTGATATCTTAACATTCACCTTCCTCCCTCCCTTATATTTTGTGATTTTTTTCAACACCACCCCTCCCCCCGCCGAAAAAACTCACGTGATTAATGGGCGCCCCCTTAGGGCTTTAATACCACTCAAACAACCTTCAATTCGTGTATATTATATATATATATATATATATATATATATATATATATATATATTATATTCAATAGGTGTCATCCTTGGACGGGAAGGTGCGATTGCAAACCGGGCTGGACCAGCCAAACCTGTAATCGACATTGCTCGTTGTTGACATATGGAAAGAACTGTCAGGAGACTTGCCAGTGCGAAAATAATGCACAGTGTTCACCAATCACAGGTAATAAAAATTATCAAGTAAACCAACTAGCAAAATAACAACTCATGACCATCCAAATCATCCACATCTTCATCACCACACAAATCATCATCCACCATCCATTAACCTCCAATTTCCTTTACCCAGGCGAGTGCCTCTGCGCCGCCGGTTACTTGGGAGCGACCTGCTCCGAGCCCTGTCCGAGCGGTTTGTATGGCGAAAGGTGTGCCCGTGCCTGCGCCTGCGAAAACAACTCGACCTGCTCCCATGAAACTGGTCAATGTTCGTGCAAACCTGGCTGGGAAGGCTTAAAATGCGACAGGCCTTGCAGCGATGGCAAATACGGTCACAATTGCACCAAGAACTGCAAATGCGTCAATGGTGCCGCCTGCAATCCGCAGAATGGTGAGAGGAAAAGGGTTAAAAGACTTAGAGATAGTAACACTTGATAGATGGATCGTACATAGTTCCAAAATGAGAATCTGATGGAGAACATTATCAATCAAAGTTGTCTAACCATTACTATTATTTCTAGGTACATGTACCTGTGGAGCTGGTTACAGAGGCGAACTGTGCGAAAGAAGTTGCGAAACAGGAACATTTGGCATCAATTGCACCCAGAAATGCGACTGCGAACCTGAGAACAGCCAAGGATGCGATCCTGTTTCCGGGAAATGCATTTGCAAAAACGATTGGAAAGGTAAACGATATCCTACAATTTGAACCCATTGTTAACTTCCCGTAGGGTAGTTATTGTAATCGTCCAAAAATCGAAATTAAAAATTTTTGCATTTCTCGACGTTTTGAAGGTTTCTGAACTTTTTACTGGCATACATCAGAAACTAAATGGATGTGTGTGTGGATAAAAAAATATTACATCCTTTTTTATGTTCCATAAAATATTTTTGTAGTTTTGGATTAAAAATTCAAAAAAATACTCAGGCTAAGCACAGTCTATGCGCCACTCTGGTACAAATGTTTACCCAAGCGCGTTTAGACTGTTTATGTACTGGACTTTTTCCTGTCTGATGATGACATCACAGATCAACATCCTCACAATGATTTTTTTAATTATTTTTTTTAAGTATTTTTTTTATAATAATACTTATTTTTTTTAAATTATTTTGGTCCCCAAGAAATGTTGAAATATTTAGTTTTTGATTTATCAAAATTTTGGTAAAATTTCATGCAATTTTGGTAAAAATATTTAAAAATCTATAAAAATATTTATTTAAACAAAGTCAATAGTGTATTCAAATAATTTGTAAAAAATAAATTATTTATATCTTAGTTATATTTTGTCTTAAAATTATATTTTTTTTACTGAGAATTTAACAAATATCAGCATTCGTGTACAAATTTTATAAAAATTCAAAAGACTACCCCGGCTAAGCACAGTCTAAGCGCCACTCTGGTACAAATGTTCACCCAAGTGCGTTTAGACTGTTTATGTAATGGAGCACACTTTTCACTATTCGAATTTTGTGAAAACTATTGAAAAATGTAAAAATGCCGCCAAGCTAAGCACAGTATAAGTGAAAATGTCGCACAGAATTATTTGCAAATGCGTTTAGACTGTGACTGTACGGGAGTACTTTTTAAATTTTGTAAAAAATGAATGAAAAATGTGAAAATGCCGCCAAGCTAGACACAGTATGAGTGAAAATGTCGCACGGAATTATTTGCGAATGCGTTTAGACTGTGACTATACGGGAGCACCTTTTCAATTTCGTGAAAACTTTTGAAAAATGTGAAAATGCCGCCAAGCTAGGCACAGTATAAGTGAAAATGTCGCACAGAATTATTTGCAAATGCGTTTAGACTGTGATTATACGGGAGCACTTTTTCAATTTTGTAAAAAATGATTGAAAAATGTGAAAATGCCGCCAAGCTAAGCTAAGCACAGTATAAGTGAAAATGTCGCACAGAATTATTTGCACATGCGTTTAGACTGTGACTATACGGGAGCACTTTTTCAATTTTGTAAAAAATGAATTAAAAATGTGAAAATGCCGCCGAGCTAAGCACAGTATAAGTGAAAATGTCGCACGGAATTATTTGCAAATGCGTTTAGACTGTGACTATACAGGAGCACTTTTTCAATTTTGTAAAAAATGAATGAAAAATGTGAAAATGCCGCCAAGCTAGGCACAGTATAAGTGGAAATGTCACACAAAATTATTTGCACATGCGTTTAGACTGTGACTATACGGGAGCACTTTTTCAATTTTGTGAAAACTATTGAAAAATGTGAAAATGCCTCCGAGCTAAGCACAGTATAAGTGAAAATGTCGCACAGAATTGTTTGAAAATGCGTTTAGACTGTGACTATACCGGAGCACTTTTTCAATTTTGTGCAAATTAAGCAACTATTTTTTTTTGAAAATTGAATTCGAAATGAAATGACTATTGTTAATGTTCTGGTGATAAATTGATTTATGATTTATGATTTACATTTGATTTGCTCAGATATAACAAGATAATGAAAGTTACAGTATTTGTATAATAATATATTTGAAAACGTTTAAAATTTCTCGAATATTTCATTACGGTACGGGAGATTCCAGCAATTTGCCTTAAGGCACGATGCCATACACCACTAGTTTATATTACCTTTGTCTGACCTCTGTCCTTTACCCCAGGAGTTCGTTGCGAGACCCGGTGCCCTCCAGGAACCTACGGGGACGAATGTCAATTGAAATGCGCCTGTTTCAACAACAGCTCCTGCGATCCTGCTACTGGTGCCTGTGAATGTGAAAGAGGCTGGACTGGTGCAGAGTGTAACCAGCCTTGCCCTGAAGGCACCTACGGCATGGGATGCAGGGAAAAGTGTCCGGAACACGAAAAATTCGGTGAGTAGAAAGGAAAGTCACATTCATTGCTTATCAGGAGCTCCAAATGCCCAAGAGCTTTGTCTTCAAGTCTACTAAATTTATCCAGGTCTTGTTTTCTTTTTTAGCTAATCATTCCTGTGACCACGTTACTGGTAAATACATCTGTCGTCCAGGGTACATAGGACTGACGTGTGAACATCCATGTCCTTTGAACACTTATGGTTTGAATTGTGAACAAAAATGCCACTGCAAACATGGAGCTGATTGTCATCACGTCACAGGTACTAAAATCCTCAAAACATTGTATACAAACACTTTTCCAAATTGGTGAAAAATTGCTCATAACATTCTTCTACCTAAATTATCTAAAATTGGTCTTAATTCTTCACTTATTTATTTTTTTAAGAGTTATCTTCATAATCGTAAACAGTTTGTCTATTTTAATGGATTCTTGAGTAATATTGAAAATATCAGTTCAGGTGTTCCTCAGGGATCCATTCTTGGTCCACTACTATTTATTATTTTTATTAATGACATATCTGATATTATTAGCTGTCCACATTCATTATTTGCAGATGATCTCAAACTATATCTCAAAATAAATTCTATTGATGACTGCTTATTATTACAGTTTCAACTTGACTCTCTCCACTCTTGGTGTGTCTTTAACAAATTACATTTAAATATATCAAAGTGCAAGATTCTTAGTTTTTCACATAAGCGCGTAAGAATACGATAGATGTAATAAAATTTTAGATTTAGGAGTTTAATTTGATTCTGGATCATATAACTGATATTTGTAATAGAGCACATAAATCTTTAGGTTTGATACTGAGAAATTGTAAACAATTCAGTTCTAACAATGCACTTCTTTGCATGCACTATTCTAACGTACGTTCAAAATTAGAATATGATTCGATCATTTGGTATCCTCATCAAATCAACAACTCTGATGCGATAGAGAAGGTTCAGCGAAAATTTCTGAAATATCTTTATTATAAAACATATAAAATTTATCCTGAACGCATACACTTTACTAAAAGAATTTGGTATTCCTTCCCTTGCCTCACGTCGATTTATCTGTACAATTATGTTCTTATTTTAACTTTGCAATAATTCTATAGACTGTCCTCTTATTCTAAACCAACTATCCTTTAATGTTCACAATTATTTTTCAATTATCCTACTCCTAAATCTAATTCACTCTTAAATTCGCCTATTTTACTTATGTCCTCTAACTTTAACTTAATTAATAATGAAATAGACATTCACAACACTTCACCTAATCAAATAATCTCCATCTGCACAAGTTAACCTTTTTATTTTCTTTTCAAATATCTAATTATTTTATCTTATTCTGTTTATAAATAATATCGTTACACTTTGCATTATATTTAACTGTATGTTAAGCATTTTATGTTAATAACTATATATATTGTAATTTTGTATATATTTTAATTGTTATTCATTATGTAAAATAACTGTATTTTTGAAGTCTCTTGGAAGAAATCTGTGGACTATATTAAAAATAAATAAATTAAATTAATAAACCCACATTCGATCCATCAGTACACGATAACTTATTCTTTGAAAATTTTTTTCTTAAAGGACATTGCCAATGTCTACCAGGATGGACAGGTGCAGACTGTTCCCAACCTTGTTCAGAAGGAACTTTTGGCGAAAACTGTGCCCAGTTTTGTAGGTGTGAAAATGGTGCCAAATGTAGAGCTAATGATGGTCATTGTAGGTGCAAACCTGGTTGGATTGGTGCACACTGCACAGACAGTAAGGAATAGAAAAAAATACAAATAACCACTAGTAGATATCAGTCTAATTTATGTCTTTTTTTATCAGTTTGTCCTGAAGGTTACTTCGGTGACCACTGCATGAAGCCTTGCAATTGCTCAACGGATAACTTTATATGCCATGCAATCGATGGATGCATCTGCAGACAGGGTTTTGGAGGTCCAAGATGTGATGAACCAAGAATACAACATTTGCAAGATCGTGAAGAAGGAAGTAAGATACTACAAACTAGCATCCTAAGCCTTGCATATACTAACCAATTTTTTCTACCACAGCTAGTAGTGCTACAGCTGGTGTCCTGGTGGCTTTGGCCTTAGTAGCCTTCATCATAGTGCCTTTGATATTCTACTACAGACGTCGTGTACAGAATTTGAAAACAGATTTGGCACATGTACAATATATAGCTGATCCACAATCATTGACAGGTACCAAAAATAAACCAATACCTCCATTTACCAACCAATATCTCCATTTACCACCATTTATCGATGTTTGGTTTAGATCGTCACCACTTCGACAACCCAGTATACTCCTTCCAAGGTGGTGCCCTTCCAGGACGTCCTGGAGATGATGCCTCTACTTTACTAAATAATGCCCAACACATCAGGAACGATTTGGGCATTAAGCAAAACAATGCCAATTTGGAGAAACAAAAACTGGGTTGCTGTTCAACTGATGATGATGATTCCAGCACTCGTAGCACTGGTAAGGGTAAAGGACTCTACAAAACAATTGCTTTTGAGGATAAAAAATTAATACATCTTAATAAATTATTTTTGTAATTTTGGATAAAAAAATTCAAAAAATTACCCAGGCTAAGCACAGTCTAAGCGCCACTCTGGTACAAATGTTTACCCAAATACGTTTAGACTGTTTATGTACTGGAGCACCTTTCAAATTTTGTGAGATAGTTAGTTAAAAATAAAATTTAAGTTTTAAAGTTTATTAAATTTAGTTATTAGTTTTTTTATTAGTTTCAATAGTTAAAAAAAATAGTTGCCTAATTTGCACAAAATTGAAAAAGTGAAAAAGTGCTCCCGTATAGTCACAGTCTAAACGCATTTGCAAATAACTCCGTGCGACATTTTGACTTATACTGTGCTCAGCTTGGCAGCATTTTTACATTTTTCAATAGTTGTTTTCACAAAATTATAAATTATTAAATTTAACCAATTTTCAAAATAAGAAAACTATTGAAAAATGTGAAAATGCCGCCAAGCTGAGCACAGTATAAGTGAAAATGTCGCGCAGAATTATTTGCAAATGCGATTAGACTGTGACTATACGGGAGCACTTTTTCAATTTTGTGTAAATTAGGCAATTTTTTTTTTTTTAATTGAATTTGAAATGAAATGACGATTGTTAATGTTCTGGAGATAAATTGATTTATGATTCATGATTTACATTTGATTTGCTCAGATATAACAAGATAATGCAAAAATAATTAACCTTATAGTATTTGTTATTAACGTGTAAAATGGAACGGGAAGTTCCAGCAATTTGCCTTAAGGCACGATGCCATACGCCACTAGTTAAAATATAAAATATCACTCAAAAATTTCATATGGAACCATCCCCTTTCATTTAGATAGGGTTAAACTAGATAAAAATTGCAACATTTCCTAGAAAACACTTGAATATTAAATATTAAAAATTTATTTTGGCACTTCTAATATAATTCATTTAAATTTAAAAAAAACTATTTTCCACAAATGATTATTCTTTTATAATAAATTTAAATTTATCTGTTTAAATAATTTATCATACTTTGTTAAACAAAATATTTTCTAATAAGTATATCTATAAGAAAATCGTGAAATTTTAACTTGAATAATAAATAAACTTTGTGATAAACAAAATATTTTAAACTCGAAAACCACTTTTAAAAAAACACTTATTTAAACTAACATAATTTTAAACAAAAAATCTTTCAATATAATTATTTTTAATAGAAAATTTAATAATTTAAATTTCATAAACACTTTTCACTACACTCTTTATATTATTTAATAATATTTAAATATTTTTAAATAATTATACTTATTAGTAACAGAATTAGAACGTTTAATAAAAAATTTAATTTTGATTTTTTTATTACTTGTGGAAAATTTATAATACCTTTTATTTTTAATTAAATTTACAAATATTTTAACTTTTTAAATAAATAATAATGATGTCATACGTAAACTTATATAGCAAATTGCATTTAAAAAATATTAATAACTGTTTTATAAATTTATTTCAGTTACTATATCATTTTTAAACATTTATATTATTTTTATTTTAATTAATCACTATTTTGAAACAAAACTATTAATTTTTGATACAAAGTGCTGATTTAATGTCCAAACTAAACTCTCATTTCAAAAAAAAAAAAAAACAAATCATATTTATAATTATCTGAAAATGTTTTAATGTATTTTTAACTTCCCGTAGGGTTTTATTATTACATTTTTTTTATTTGCCATAAAATATTCTTGTAATTTTGGATTAAAAATTGAAAAAATTACCCAGGCTAAGCACAGTCTAAGCGCCACTCTGGTACAAATGTTTACCCGAGTGCGTTTAGACTGCTTTTGTACTGGAGCACTTTTCCAATTTTGTGAAAACAACTATTGAAAAACGTGAAAATGCCGCCAAGCTAAGCACAGTATAAGTGAAAATGTCGCACAGAATTATTTGCAAATGCGTTTAGACTGTGACTAGACGGGAGCACTTTTTTAATTTTGTGTAAATTAAGGCAACTATTTTTTTTTTTTTTGAAATTGAATTCGAAATGAATTGACGATTGTTAATGTTCTGGAGATAAATTGATTTATTATTTATATTTGATTTGCTCAGATATAACAATTAAGATAGCAAAAATAATGAAAGTTACAGTATTTGTAATTTACGTTTAAAATTTCTTGAATATTTCATTACGGCACGGGAAGTTCCAGCAATTTGCGTTAAGGCACGATGCCATACACCACTATTTTTTATTGTTATTATTTTCAGGTGTCTACAGTCTCCATTACAACCACAGTATGTCAATGAAAAATCGTGATGCAGATTTAACAAATCCCAACGTCAATATTTATCACAGTATTGATGATGACACTAAGGTTGATCATGTTTATGATGAAATTAAATTGAAAGAAGGATACAAGGATGTCGGTGAGTATTTTAAGAAAGAATTGAACTAAGTACCATGGTTCTAATTTATATTTTTACCATTTTTAGACGAGTACGATCACCTAGACTACAGCAGACCAGGAAGTTCGTTGAAACCTCAATATCAAAGGATGATGAATGGTTTGGTCAAGGATGTTAATGAAGACCAGGATACTAAACCTGATCCTACCAAGGAAACGTAATAGGATAAAGAATATGATGAAGACTAAAAAGACATTTTTTGAAAAAAAAAATCTACAAGGGATTACAAATTTTTGAAGATTTTGGACCAGGTTTTGTGTCAGTGCAAAAATGTGCAAACAAATATTTTATATCTAAAAGTATTTTAAGTCACTAAAATCTCATAAAAAGTGATATTTAATCAGACTTTTAATATTAGTTTTAATTTAAATGTATTTTTTTAATGTGCATGTGTGTGCTGATGTTGTATTATGATGTAATGGTGCAATTTTTCGAATTCGAATCATAAATCAGAGATTGTTAACATTGTAAACAAATATTGTACATATTTATAGTTATAAGAGAAAAAACTCAGATATTTTAATAAAATGAAAGTATAATTGTATAAGATAAGTGCAAAAAGACTTTGCTAAATAAGAAATAAATAAATAATTAATAATTATTATAATTATTAGTGGTGTACAAACTTTTCGACAATAACGAAAAACTAAAAGCAATTTAAGGTGTAATTTTTATTGTAAGAGTTCTTTTTTTTTAAATGTTTATCAGAAATTGTTATTAACAATTGGCTGTCAGGAAAATATTTATTCGTATATTAATAATATTAAACAAAAGTATTTTATATAGATATATATGTATAAGGTTGTGTGATATGATGTTGTATTTTTATATATAGTAGAAATTAAAATATGATTATTTGAAATACTGTGTTTTGCTCTGAAACAAATATAAAAGCTTGATTGAACTCGTGCTAATTTTCAGTATTTCTAATGCAACTTCTTTGTGTATAAATTTTTATAAAATTTGTTTTTAACAATATAAACTACATAAAATTCCTCAAAAATCTTTCTAATATTATTTCATCCTACAATTCACGAGAAACTAACTGCGAATTAGCAAAACCATCAACTCAAATAACATCGATAACATTTCTCGTGCAGTTTCTTTCAGTATTTTGTTCATATGTTTTGTTTGAGTAATTTTATAAAAAATCTGTCTTAATAAATAAAAACTTGATCAAACTCTTCAAAAATCTATCTAATGTTATTTTGTTGTATGATGCACCAGAAACAAACTACATGATTGGCAAAACCATCAACTCCTTAATATTGATAACATTTCTCGTGCAGTTTTTTTCAGAATTTTTATCATAACTCTTGTCTAATAAAATATTTTGGAAAAAATAATTGGACAAATAAAAACTAGATAAAAGTCTTCCAAATTGATTAGAATAATATTTCATCCTACAATTCATATAATAAATAGTAGTGGACCAAGAATGGATCCCTGAGGAACACCTGAACTTATATTTTTAATAATGATATAACTGCGAATTAGCAAAACCATCAACTCCGATAACATAGATAACATTTCTCGTGCAGTTTTTTTTAGTATTTCATTCATATTTTCTGTCTGAATAATTTTAAAGAAAAAATGTTTGGATAAATGGAAACAAGATAAAATTCTTCAAAAATCTGTATAAAATTATTTTGTTGTGTGGTATACCAGAAAGAAACTACATAAAGGGCAAAACCATCAACTCCTTAATATCGATAACATTTCACGTGCAGTTTTGTTCAGTATTTTATTCATATCTTCTGTCTGAATAATTTTAAAGAAAAAATGTTTGGATAAATAGAAACTAGAAAAAAAATTTTCAAAATCTTTTTAATATTATTTTATCCTACAATTCACGAGAAACTAACTGTGAATTAGCAAAACCTTCAACTTCCTTGTCGTCAATAGGAATTGCAGTATAGTTTTGTCATTATTTTAATCGTAACTTTTGTCTGGGTAATTTTATAGAAAATGTGTCTGGATAAATAAAATCTAGACAAAATTCTTCAAAAATCTGTATAAAATTATTTTGTTATGAGGTATACCAAAAAGAAACTACTAGCCCAAAGGTTGGCACAACTATCAACTCCTATATAACATTCCTAGTAAAGTTTTCACATTATTTTAATCATAACTTTCGACTAAAAAATTATTTTAAATATACGTTTGGAAAAATAAATTCTGGATGAAATCCTTCAAAAATCTGTCTAATATCATTTTGTTGTAAAATTTACCAGAAAGAAACTACAAGCTCAAGGGTTGGCAAAACCATCTACTCCTATATAACATTCCTTGTGCAGTTCTAATTTTTTTCCTAACTAGTTTTTATTTTAATCGTAACTTTTGTCTGGGTAATTTTAAAGAAAATGTGTCTGGATAACTAGAAACTAGATGAAATCCTGCAAAAATCTGTCTAACATCATTTTATTGTACAATTTACCAGAAAGTAACTACAAGCCCCAGAATCGACAACACCATCAAGTCCTATATAACACTCCTTGTGTAGTTTTATCATTATTTTAATAATAACTTCAGTTTCAATAACTTTTTTGGACAAGTGCTTGGACAAACAAAAACTACATGAAATTCTTCAACAATCTAAAAAAATTTCAGCAAAAACCAACTACAAACCCAAAAATTGGCCCAATTCCCAAAATTTCAGCAAGCTCACCACCAATAAAAACTAAATAAATCCTTTACCGCTATATTTATCAATTATCTTTCAAAATGCCAGGATAGCTCAAAGAGCAATAATTCTTGGCCTTCAGAATTTTCTTCACGGTTTCCACTTTTTTCTCGACAACCTACGAGTACAAAAATCATTAATACCATCATCATGGTCATGATCAGGAATATAATATTTTTTTAAAAATAATTTTTATTTCAACCTTTTCCTGCATGTAAGTTTTATGCGTCCACAAACTGCATGTTGCAAGATCATTCACAGTAATTCCTGGATCCAAATTTGGCAAGGATATCTCTTCACAAGGAAGCCAGTCTTCGTTTTCCAGAAAGGCTGGTTGGGAAAACATTAGGCCTTCTGGAAGACCGAAGGTACCTTGAGGGAAAAAAAAATTAGGGAAAGGAAGAGTATATTTAGGCAAAAATCAGGAGTAAATTTAGAAAAAATCAGAGGTAATTTCAGTTAGACAGATACAAGACTAATCCTTTAAGATGTAGTCGAATATTGATGATTTTCCAACCTGGTGTCAATGAAAAACAATTAATAAGTCTATTATCTCACCATTAGAGACAATTCCAGCAGAAATAACTTCGCCATCATAAATTCCGTACCACAATTGCAACAAATCCACAACAGCCTTCACCGTGTTGAAGTTGACTTGTTGCTCGTTTTTAATCTACCACAATAATATATTTTAATAAACCTATTAGATAATAGATTAATCTATTTAGTGCAGTATACACAGAGAAAATCAGGGCATAACCTCTGATTTTTTTACTGTGCTCCAATTTGCATGAAATTTTGGAATTAGGTTTGGAATTAAGTTCAAAAGTGAAAACAATTTGGGACGCCTTAATAAATAAGTGGACATTCTAGAAAGAAAGAGCTAGAAAGAGTTTTTAATATTAAAGGATATAATTAAAAAGTATTTTTTAATACATTTACCTTGCAATAAAATTATTGAAGTAAAACTTCTTTAGGCGCGATATGGGTGTAAAATTTCTTAGGCTACACGGGTGTAAATCCGTACAAATGCAACGAAAACGCCAACGTGTAGTTGAACACTACGACGCCGTAAGCGCTGATGTCGCGAGTATCCACTCCCGTCATGTCATGCGTAAGTCGAGCGCTAAACCCTATATGAACTTGCATTAATTGAATCACGTTTTTATGTTATGTCCTCATGGAATAAGACTTTTCTTAGAGAATAAATGTGTCATGGAATATAATAAATTTATACTGAATCTCGTTGAAAACAAAATAATATCTACTGCCACGGATATTATGTAGGTTGCCAGCGACAGATCAACAATCATACATTCGTCAGCAGTTTCACAAAAATCGGTTATTGATACCGGGGCTTTGCCGTATGAAATAATTTTAGTTCTGAATAAATTTTACATAATAACAACTAATATTGATGTAAGTGATGGCTTAGCTAGTGGTTGTGTGGGAAAATTAGTGTACATAGAACGTGGCGATAATGATGAACTTCTACGTTTATGGTTTGAATTTCCCGGTAAGATAGGTAACAAATTAGGAAGAAAGTTCACATCATATTCAAACTCTTAATATCAGTAGGACAGCTGTTGCCGATGCTCAGGAGATCTTATTATTATTGATGTTATATGATTATTAAAAGATGATTTTTAAAATTCAAATATGATGTTTTTTTTATTTTTATCTTAATTGCCTACTCATACAATATTAAAAGTTTTACTTCAATCGCGTGTGATCCTTACGCGCACTCTTTTTTTCATTTAATAAACCCTTCAAACAACCTCTAAATTGAAAAAAAAAAACTTAAAAATACATTTCGGTATGATGTAATAAGAATTACGTATAAAGTAAATAATATGTTATAAGGTTGTCAAATATCTCCCTTCCGCCTTTTTGTATTAAACCAAGAGCAAAAAAGCGGAAGGGAGATATTTGACATGTTTTCTATCTTGATTATCAAATTTTATGACTGATACTTGATTTACAAATACGTCAGCTAAGCAATCATAAATTCCACAACATTTTGATTAATTTATTAAAAGCCAACAGTTTTTATGACATTTTTGAATATATTAATTTTGACTTCAAGAAATGCAGTGGTACCATCCCCTTCATATTATAAATATCTATTGTTACTAATTACGTGTGATATCTTACAAATACAGCAATTTTTGGCTATAACTGAGTATTACTTAGCTGTAAAATATTTTTATTGAATTAAATTAATGAAAAAATTATTTTCAAATTGCAAGAAAATTAAGAAATTCAAAATGATGTGAATGGTATTTAAATTTTTCGAAAATAATTACCATATCCATTCTTAAAACTACTCTTAAATATACATTTTTATTATAAATACACATGAACATATATATATATATATATATATATATGTATATATATATAAGTCAAGAGTTTTGGGCACCAAATTCTGCTTACTCTACATTGCTCGAAATATGGACACAACTCGACAAAAATGCTGTTAGTTTTCGGGTCATAACTCCTTTAATTTCGACTCCATCACAATTTGTAATAT